TTTTTTTTTTTTTTTTTTTTTTTTTTTTTTTTTTCCCTTTTTTTATTTATGATTCCACTATATCATATAGCATACAATAATGCTTCATGCTTGCTTTTTAAAACCAGTAAACCTATTCTTTGGTTACCATGGTAACAAACGTTTACTATCTTTAGCCCACGACTCCAAGAGTTTTTATAAGGAATGTTCATATACTTTCTTGTGTTTAATTCAAACGGCGAAACTATAGAAACAGACAAAATAATGAAGGATATAATGTTTTGATAAATTTCACGGCCTGTCATAATATTTTTTACATAATGCGTCACCGTGTCCTTCGCGTGCTTATTTCTAATAGGCAAGTAGGTGACTAGCTCTGTGCCAGAAACTTAGATTGTTGGGTTCAAGGTATGACGGTTTGAATCTACGATATCAGGGATGAGAGTCGACTGTCGAGGGAGGGGGGGGGGGGGGGGGGGGGGGGGGTCAATTTTAACATTAAAGGATTTATAAATGGACTTACTAATAGAAATTATATGGTTAGGACCTAGTTCCACTTTCTATTTTTTGTTATTTTTGGTTTTTGTTTTTTTTTTTTTTTTTTTTTTTTTTTTTTTTTTTTGAGTCAAATTTGAGATTAAGTCTTCTCTTAGGAGAAGGACATCGCAATATAATCTAAAAAAAATTTTTGGGGTTTTTTCTCTTTTTGGCCTCCCCCCCCCCCCCCCCCCCCCCCCTCTTCCTCCCCCCCCCCGGGGAATTTTTTTTTTTTTTTCCCGGGCCCCGGGCAGGGGGTTTTTTTTTTTTTTTTTTCCCCTTCCCCCCTCCCCCCGCCGTCCCCCCCCCCCCCCCCCTTCTTTTTTCTCCCCGGGCTAGAAAAAGTAAAAAAAATGATAGGCCGGGGGGGGGGGGGGGGGGGGGGGCAACTTATATATTTTGTCAGGTGCATGGAGTGATGCTTCCAGCCTTATATGTAATACAAATACTAGCCATTAAACAGAGTATCGAAAAGTCTTATGTCAGTTAACATTTCTTCACCGTTCTACGCTTGAAAGCAAAAAAAAACCATAAATTTTTTTTTTTTTTTTCCCCCCCCCTTTTAAAAAAAAAAAAAAAAAACCACCTTGATTTAAGAACATCGCTTGTAAATGTTTTAACATTATAGGATATTAGATTGTTAGCTTTTTCCATTGACCATAGGATGTAGTACATATATTTCTTACATGCTTGAATATTTATGTTAAAATTTTGTGTCCACAATCCAATGCCCTCTCAAATATTTGTCAACTTCGAGTGGAACCAGATCATGTAACTAAATAATTGGCAGAATCTGGTATTTCAAACATGGAATTTTTTGACAATAGATACACTGTTTTTCGTTGAGATCGTTCTAGTTTTTCCCAAACCAAAACGGTTGTTGGGGGGTTTTTTTTTGTGTTTCCCCAAAAAATTTTTTTTTTTTTTTTTTTTGGTTTGGGTTTGTTTTTTGGGGTTTTTTTTTTTTCAGCACCAATAATTTAAAAAAAAACAACGCCGCCATGTCAAGTTAGCTAATACTAAGCAATGACGTAATTTTCATAAGAAATAAATGTTCTCTTTATAATTTGTATAACTCCTTAATGTATCAGCCCCCTCCGACTCGTTAAGAAAAAAATACCCAAACCCCCCTTTTTTTTTTTTTAAAAATCTAAAAATTCTTTTGCGGAGAGAAAAATCATAAACTTTTTTTAAAAAAATAAAAGAAAATTTTTTTGAGGAAAACCAACCTTGTATTTAACCCCCCCCCCCCCCCTAAAATTAGGCTAAACCCCAAACCCCCTTATTTTTTTTTTAAAAATTATTAACTTTACAATAATGCGCTAACATGATATATATAGGCGTCGACTGTTTATAATTATTTTTAAACCCCAGGCCAATACAAGGTTGGCGATATTAACTTATTCTTGGTTTCATTGCATGTTATAGAGTAAGGGCACTGGTCTCATTCCCTTTAGAATTGAAACTCAGGACAAATCAGCCAATCAAATTTACCAATGGCTTGAGATTTTATGAATTAAATGCCAAATTATCGGTGCCTGTTCACCTTAATTTTATGTTTTTATTGATTAAGGAAGGTACTAAACAATAAACTACAAGCTCCCTCCTTCAGAATGCCAAATCGTCAAATGACTACTTCACGACTGATTTGAGCGCGACCGCCGCTGCGAAAACCGCTGTGCGAGTTCGAAAAGTGAGTTACAGAATCGCAAGGCAGCTCTTCTCCTAACCTGAAGGGAGCATATTTCACAATCTAACCAGTCTAACCACTATTGGCCCGAAGGCCCCAGTGGCTAAGATCGAGAAGTTATAAATTTCATTCGCATTGATAGCCTCGAATATAATATACTCGTATAATAATTAGTAATTCCATTGTTATTTTTTACTGTTGTAGATAATTCCCCGACGAAAAATACAATATATATATAAACATACTCTTTCATATATATCTATACTATAAATTATCATTAATTCGATAGTTTGCAGGCGTATAGAATTAAAGAAGACTGTCCACTTCATCTGAATAGAAGGCATAATGTCATACTGTTTAAAACAAAGAATATTTATATCAGACACAATCCTAGTACGGCCATTGTATCCCACGATGCAATAGTGTCCTCCATAAATGTTCATAAGTAAAAGATTTTTTTTATACAGGGATGTTAACGCCGCCCATGGACACTCTCAATGCCAGAGGGCTCGCGAGTGTGTTGCCGACCTTTTAACGGTTGCAGTTTACTATTAATTCATATTTTATGACCTTTTCACTATACTACGTACAATTTAAATGCAAAACTAACAGTCAAATATTTCAAACCAACCAATTCTACTTAGGGCCCTTCAAGAAAAGAGCGTACAAATTATTAAAAGGTCGTCAACGTACTCGCGAGCCGTCCAGCATTCAAAGTGACCATGGGCGGCGTTAACATCCCTGTATAAAAAAAAATCTTTTACTTATGAACATTAATGGAGGACACTATTGCATCGTGGGATACACGTGGTATCACTTAACATGGTGAGATGATCGATTGCCGTCTGTTCTTAAAAAAAATTCAAAGCAAAAGGCTTTCCTTTAACAAAAACTAAAGAAAGAGCCTTACTTATCGCACTATAATAAGAGGAATGCCGAGTGAGGCAATAACGAATTGAAAAATATGTCATTATTTTAATGCCAATAAAAGCGTGGAATTTTTTGCGAAGCATTACGAATACAATTTGTAATTATACAAAAACCAATACATTACAATGCACATGAACACAGCTCAAAAGTCTAATAAAGAAAAAAACTATTTATTATCGCGTCAATTGTCTTTACGATAACTGAATTAAATAGTAATTCTTCAGATTCAGAAGTGCGTACTTCCGGTTCCGTTTCCTGCATTTCTGATATGAGAAAATACTTCTTAACGAAATTTTTTGCTAACCGTACACCGTGCTAAAATTAAAGTTAACTCCCCCATCGTTATATTAACTACATAAAGGGGAGTTAAGTGTACGTTAGAGCTAAAATTAACTATGATGAATGCAGCACGCGTTCAAGTGATAAATTGTTCTCGCTGTATCATATTATTAGCTATCTATCCTCTCCATGTCTAGGTCTAGGTCTGTTTTAAGTTCCGTGACTCCCTAAACGGACATAATACCGTGACAACTTTTAAGAACAGAACAGAACAGAAGCAGAATATTTAAAATACCTCTAAACATTTTTGTTTTGCGGAAGTCAGAACCTCCAGATTTATTTTTCAAGCGTGATGCAATTAATAGAAATCATCAATTTCTAAATACATTTTTGATTAGCTTATATCGATAAATGTCTAGGAAAAATACCTCTTTCAATCGCCTAAGGTTAATACGGCGTAATAAAAAAATATAGGAAGTTAATGTCAAGAATGCGATCGTAACTTTAAGTTTGCAATCAGCGAATGCAATAAAAAACTAATAAACTAACATAAAAAAAACTACTTGAACCACACGGCAAAAAGTGTTCGTAATATAGACGAATGATCTTCTATTATGTGATAATGCGAGCATTTATAATAATGTTAATAAAACAAAAGGACTGTCAAAGGTAATAATGGACGGATCGGTTAACGTGTGAAACAACAAAGGCCAAACAAAACAAAAACTATTTACTTACAAAGTCATTACTAGCGTAATTATTTACGAGATTATTCTTTATTGCAATAGAAATTATCTTTAGATGAAAGTAACTCGTGACGAGACGTAAGTGATAGAATGTTGCATTGTATCAAAATTGCGACTTTGTGCTAATCTAACTCAGAGTGTTTTCACTTGTATTTACGATCCACGCAAGCTTTCATTGTAATTCACATCACATTTAGTGATTTACTCCGTAAGCTATCTGCATAAAGTGTATATTGTAGGCATGAAAGTTCGTCAAGCCACTCACGGCAAGCAGGTCCTCCAACCTTGGGACAATACTGCGGATACTTACACATTTTTTCCGCAAAGTTAATTCGCTACGTAATTAATACAACATCTTAACCGAGCCGCCGTCGCGTGAACGTCATTTCATAATTATGCAAACACGGTATAAAGAATTCGATGCATCGTTTGTTTTGTTAAATAGATCAGTTTATCTTACAGTTACTTGTTGTTTCGAGGGCGAGTTGATTAGGACGCGTGTGTCAACTTCCATTTGACGATAATAAGGTTCGGGCATTGAACGGCATATTATTCTCACAGGGCAATAGGTGGCTCGGTATCATATCGAAGACTGCGTGCGATCGGGGCCGGGTGCTCAGGAGTGGTGGAAATCGCAAGACGCAATCGCGCTCAGTGTAGACTCGCGCGCCACGGCTGTTGAGCGTATTATTCCATGCATCAAACGCACGCGCATCCATCGATTTGTTATCGATTCTCCGTCACTCTTACCGCGCGCAATTAACAGTGATGTCTCAAGAAAACACGTGAACGCGCGTGACAATAAACAAAACCTATGTGATGCAAAGATTTGTTTGTGCTTAACCAGTGTTGGATCCCATGTTCGCTAGTCCCGTATTAGTGTCCAAGGAGATAACGTGATGTGACAACGAAACGTAGTTAGGTGCCTGTGGAATAGTTTTGTGAAAGTGTGCAGCGAGCGTGAGTGAGTCGCCGGTGTGACCGGTGCCCCGAGACAATGTTAAACTGCACTGATCTGGAATGTATTTTGCACCACCACCACTACTATGCGCATCTGCACCACATACATCACCTGCAAAATGCGCAGGATTCAGGTGAGTGACATCATTTGAATCCAAGAATTTTCCTATGACGCCTGAACAATGAACGCATTGCTTACAATGAAATTGTTTGGCGTTAACTGGATGATCTAGAGTCCTTCAATAACGATAGCTGAACAGCCAATAATCTATTTAAATTAAGCGACGATCTTGTAGGAATGTAAATTATAGGTTAAGTTAATATATTATTACCTTGACATTTGCGTACTTTAAATGAAACTTGAGAATTGTGTTGAAACTTTTTTACCTATCTGAAAAGAAACATTGACAAGTAAAATCATAATAGCTGTTATGTTTAAAAGAATTAATATTCCTTATAAAATAAAATTACAAAGGGACCAAACTTTTTAAATTTGTTTTATTTTTCTTTTTATTTATTTTATTACTACTTTGTAGGTTAAGGTAATTGTAAATACCGTATATTTGATTGTAATAAATAATAATATTTCTTATTCATTGGTTTAAATAAAGCCCTTAAAGAGATATGTCGCAAATATAATATATTTTAAGATGAAAAAAAGATGGAATACACGAAAAGCAAACAATGAATAAAGCATCTCATCGTCGCACTCAAATGACTACATATGTATTATTTCTTTAGTGACACATTTTCTGAGATCATTAATTATTTATTGATAAATGTTTTACAGATCAAATTGTTTGGATCAAGATAGTTTCTTACCAGTTTGGGACCTTATTTGGCACCAATGCTTGGTGTAAATATCAGAAGTACAGTAAAAGATATATGTACTAACAAGTCAATCGTTTTCTCTCAAGAGTTACTTGAACCAAGGAACCGGCTTGAACATGCGAAATTCCACTTACATTTTATTTTGTATCATAAATATAGTCTTTTAATTACAAAGAGTTCTAGACCGATGACTGGCTATTGTGAAATATTTATGGAAATAAGTCATTAGAGTAATACAATTAGTGAAATCTAAAAGTGCATTAATTAGTGATCTCATAAAAAGAAAGTGTTTAAAATTTCAGCGACGTCAATGTGTCGAATGAAAGTTCGCGTTACATTACAAAAATTAAGAATTAAATATGTTTGACAAACAGCTGAGTAAATTGTAGAAACGACGCACAATTTAAATTTATATTCAGTGTTGTAGAAACAATACCTTAGTGGTTAAGCCCACGTTTCTCAACTCTAGGTCGTGCGTTCGAATCGTGGTGCATTATGCATGTGCGCATTCGACACTTGCTCATACAAAGATAAACAACAAAATGAACGGTACTCATTGAGCTTGAAATATTCGCCAGTGTTCTGATCAATTTAAATAAATATTAAGATAAATATAAGATACGGAAGAACCTAATCGTTGAAAAAGAATCTTTAAATTATGAAGCATAGGAGAATGTTTTTTTGTTTCTTTTGTTTTTTTAAATGTATATATGTGCTTATGTGCACCGTAATCCTCATTTATTAAAACGTAGAAACATGTGATGCTGTGTGCTTTAATAAGTAAAACATCGTGAGAATACCGGCATGTTTAAGACTCATTCGACATCACAGAAGACTAATGAAAACATATTAATGTAACGGAATGCTCTGTTGTTTCTCTAAACACGATAAATAAATTATTAATTCAATATTGCAACACAGTACAAGCACTTTGTAGCCTAAGCAAAATTCTGTTTTGCACTCACTTTTATTGTAGATCTCCTATATTCCGTAGCGCTGAATAATTTGGAATTGCGAGATAAGGACAGTAGCTGATCTTCATCTTACGTAAAAACATCTGAATAACTCAGTGTTCAATTAGAGTTATTAAATTGAATACACAATACCAACTCTTTATTGTTTTCCTATTGATGCTATCGGCCATTATTCTTGAACAATGGACGCGTGTATTTAAACAAAAATTGAAAATATTTTATTAATATAGGTGCGTGGTTATGGTCGTGTCTTGATGGGAAAAATATGAAGAATTCACCTGCGTATAAATTCTAATAATTAATTATAAATGGGCGTTGCTGGTAGAAGGGTTTTTGACGCCAAATCTTAAAATTAAAGAAAATTATCAAAATAGTAAAATTGTTCCACCGCAAACAATTTTACTATTTTGATAATTTTCTTGTCACACTTGTCTCTAAGGGATAAACAAAATAGTTTTCTACTATTTTCAGACCTTCCAATCTATAGAGATAAAAATCGTTTGAATACAAACACAATGATATGATAATTATATATATATATATATATTGATATATGATATATATATTGATATATAGATTATTTATTGATTATTTATATATATATCCTTCTTGTAAATTTGATCTAGTAAGATATTAAAAGAAATTTGATCCACTCTTAGTATATGGCTCTTTACAATTCTATATACTTTGATCGAATTAGAAATGGAACTTTTTGGGGATTATCGTCTTCAACATACTTCCATCAAAAAATACATTAAAATAATGTTTTTGTAGATCCTAAGTCCAAATTTATACCGGTCAAATGTCTTTTCAAATTTATAATTTCAGGCTTTTGACCTTAACTAGCCCCGTGGTCCGTATCATTTTCGTGCAAAATTTTGTTTTAACTTTTACTGTAACAAAAATCTGTTGTACAGGATTATTGTGATGGTAAGTATTTTTAAATATTTCTTTTATTACAAATTACCATAGTTTTTACAAATATTACTTATAAAATTAATTTTTGAGTCAGAAAAGTAGGTACCTACTTATCCTTTTATTACCTACTATGTTACTACTTACCTATCTATCCTAGTTTTATATTATTAACATAACATAACTGTATTCCCCAAGAGAAGAGGTCTAATACAGCACCCACTTTTCCAGTTATGTTCAATGAGTTGTTTAATAGGTGGCGAGCCTAATGCCTTACACCGGCACAATGGTTTCCTCCATGTTTTCCTTTCCGATTAGACTTATCTCCATACACTTTTACACAAAAGATCATTTCACGACCTATTCGAACCACCACTCTTTTCAGAAAATATGTCCACCTAATTTCTTGATTCTTTTAAATACCTCCTACTCAATAATTTCTTTATACCTACTATAAAAATTTGTCAAAATGATCAATAAGATATGATGGAATTATTACTCTTCTATAACTCAAAGACAGTCTTATTGAGAATTCTGAACTATTTTATCCTATACATTCAGACTAGTTATACCTACCTACTTTTTTATTAGTATTCATACTCAACCTTGGGGGCTCCATAAATTACGTGAGATGATTAAGGGGGGAGGGGTCAATCAAATCTATCTAATATCACTTGTTCGGCCAAATTCACCAGTTATTTTTTTGAAGTTGAAGGAGCAGATGATTTTACTAAAAATTTGAATTTGGTTCAATAGTTTCTCTTACTTTCTCAATGATAATTAATAGATATTGTTTTTTTTTACATTGATTACTAGTCTTAACTCCACAAATAGTCGTAAATCCAAACAAATAGTTTTTCTTTTTACATTAATCCCTACGTATAACCACATTCTAAAATCTACTAATGGGGGGTATAATCTCAATTACAAGACCACAAAAATTTAAAAACCTCTAATGGGCCCCCCTTATATAAATATAGGTATATATTTTACATTTTTAAGTCAATTAAAAGGAAATCCTTTAATCAGAAGTAAATCCATATTATGATGATAATCACCAATAAATTTACCTACCACAAACATTCTTTAAGTATCGAATATCGTCACTTATGAATATGTCTAATCTTCTAAAATACCTTCAAATCTCTTATGTTCAACAATTGTTTCCTATATACTCTCCACACACAGGTATTTATTTTATATACCTAATTGTTATTGATAGAACTAGTAGAATTAAAATGGTATATTTTTTTCGGTCTTTTCTTACAGTCCCACTTACTCATGGGAGATTTTTACCTAGTATATTATCAAAAAAAGCGCTTCTATACTTAAATAAGGTTACCATCCATTTCACACAACATATTGTTATTATGAAAAATATACCGATAGTAGATTTTTTTTGATACCAATATTAATTTGCACTTTAATTTTAAAACTCCCTCATTTTACAAGTTTATTTAAAGTTTATTAATTAAAAATAAAAATAAAATAAGTTTATATAATATTTATTTTTTTGTTTTAGTCTTTACATAATTCTAACCCAGTCTTCATTGTTCAATGAAAAGTAAAAAGTTCAAGAAAGAAACACACAAGTCAATAGTGGAAAGTACAAATTATCACTAATGAGGCGTAAGTGTACTCATAGAAGAATTCCGATTTTGGAGGAGGTAAAGTTGAAAAACTTTATACCTAAATATTTTTTCTCTGTACATTTCTAATTTTCACATCTTTTCTACCCTATAATTCTTCATTAAATATCATATCGACCCAAATCCTACACAATTCAATAAATTAGAAACAAGGAAATTTTTCACAATTCTAAAGTACTTATCCTATTTACCTTTTCCTCAAAACCAACCAGTACCTCTAGTCCGTAACTTCGCTACTTTAACTCTTGACATTTAAAAGATCTTCATTTTAGACATTTAAGAAATTGTAACTTCTAACATGTTCTTCCGTACTTAAAAAGCATTGTTTAATCCACTTAACATTTCCCAATACGGCACGCTTCGATTAGCTAAAAGAAAAATTGTGCTCTTTTGATGAAGTTTCATTAGTAGTTAAAAATATCCTTAATCATAGCATACGTCTGTTCTTAAAAGAAAAAGAACGCGAAGTCGTAAAGCGATTTGCTCCAAAATGAGAGATTTACTACTCTTTTAATTTTATTGGGAAAAAGAACAACTATTAAAATCTCACTACCAATTATCCTGAAAAATATGAAAATTTGTAAGTCCATAAAAGTAATTTCTTTAATGAACATACAGGCATGGTCAAAATTATACATACCCTCACTATCGTCCCCTGTCTTGGGATGTGTTGAAATACTTACACACAATCTATTATCAAAACGAATCCACAGCCTATAAGGAAGCATTAAAAAAACTAGTCTTTAAATATTTATTGAAATAATTGGGAGTGGAGATTTCTCAACCTAGAAAAGTAAAACGAAATCACTTACGAAAGAAACCCGTCATTAATACCGTTATGAAAAAATCCATAAATTAGAAATTAAATTGCGACAATTGAGAAAAGATAGATGTGTTTTAAATTATGAATTATTTCATAGTAACAATAGCTCACATTATATGTTGACCAAAACTTCAGTGACTCTGAAGCTAACTTACGTTTTACATCAATAGAAAGAATGAAGAAGTCCCAAAAGGTTTTGGAAAGTTTAACAGTAGAGCAGAGGAAGTGT